CGGGATCGCATCCGGTTCCCGCGCTTTTCGCACGCACGCTCTCTCTTCTCTCTCTTCTCTCGCTATCTCGGGAGAGCAGAGGTCCCGTACCCTCCCCGATCGAGCCATAAACCCTTGTGACGGACAATTTCAATTTGTCACGTCACAATATACATACTTACAGTATACTCTTATATATGCCCTGGATACAAAATACCATCATGTTATATACATAAAATGCTTAAACGCATATATACCAACATGTTATGAATATAAGTTACATAGTAAACTTCGAGAGCTGACTTCCTTCTGTTTCTGGGCCTGCTGTCCTCCACTGGTGTTTCTCAAGATTATAATTATATATAAAAAATTAACTTTTTGGTAAAAGTAGTAATATAGTTGTCCAGGTGAATTAACACTATCATCACCATCATCACCATCACCGTCAGAAAAAGTACTCGATTAGAGACGTTGGGTGAATATTGATTTGTTTGCTTATTGTAAATTAAAAAAGTGATTGCTAAACATATGTGAAGAATATAGTATATCAAAGTTTCTGAGAAACGTTGTATCATACTTGTAGAAGATATGTCTTCGCGGGAGGTGTAAACAGAACGATGGTCAGCTACTGAGCAACCGCTGTATTTGTTTCGGCAAAGATTATCTTTCTGAGATAATTGCAATCACACATAAAGAACGAAGAGCTAAATGGAATATATAATGACGACTGATGTCCGTGTCAACCCATAGTCCAGGATATGACAATGCGACCGACGGTAGAAGTTCCGTTGGGCAAATCTTCGTCCGAAGTCGCAGGCACGTCAACATTGTATGCAGAGATCTTCGAGAACACCAGTGGAGGACAGCAAGCCCAGAAACAGAAGGAAGTCAGCGAACAGGGAGCGGAATTAACGGAATGAATAAAAAAGGTATCAATTGGAATACAATTCCGATAAGATATAATATTCATCCGCGCAAATATAAGATAAGTTTATGCGATTATCAAAATTTTAAGTTTACGCTAAAAATGCGAATAAATTTCGTTTTATTATATTATTTAAATTTTAAGTTTACGCGAAAAATGCGAATGAGTTACGTTTTACTATAAGTATAAAGAGCAACAAATTTTGTTCATTATATTGTTTAAATTTTAAGTTGAAGCGAAAAACGCGAATACGTTTCGTTTCATTATAGATAAATTTATTTATGTTATGATTTAAAATTTAAGTTCACGCGAAAGAAACGAATAAAATTCGTTTTATTATATGTGAAATAAAAAAAAAAGATTATTAAATTTTAAGTTACGCGACAAACGCGGTTAAGTTTAGTTTCCCTCCAAAAAAAGTTAAGTCTAGTTTAAGGAACCTGAGTACAGGTTGATTTAAAATATCAAACGTCAATCAACAAAGATATAATCAACTACGTGTTTTTTAGTCATTAAATTTATTTATTATAAAGTCAATTATTTTCTGAGCTTCGCGACACACGCGAGCAATGCGGTGAATTGAATTTTATCCTAAATCATGCGTAAGAATTGCGATAGTCCCGGCGCGGATAAGGAATAGCGGATAATTATATTTTATTTACGGGAATACATCCAAGGACTGAAAAGCATACGCGATGTTTAGTTTTATTTCAAATTGAACACAGTTTATGTAATCGCATGTTGAATTATTTAAGTTGGTTTTATCCGATTGGATACGTAGTTTTGTATTTAGTTAAAACTTAAAAAATAAATAAAAATAAAAATAAAAAAAAAAAAAAGAAAGAAAGACACTAAGGGGTCCAGATTACAAGCGCGGACCACGACGAGAGACCTAGACGGTGATTGGCGCGCGTATCGAACGAAGCGTGATTGGCCAAAGCACCAACGGGGGGGGGGATGGACGATATAAAAGCGAGCGGCAAGAAGACTCGAGGCTCACTTGCGTTCCGGAATACCGTCAGGCTACGTCGGCCAAAAATCAAAACGCACAAAAAAAAGGAGAGAATTTACGTATATTTAAGAATTTACGTAAGTGCGGAAGTAAGAACATTGATTCATTTCGGGTGACTTGGATTGTGTGTAAAAAATGTGTCCAATTCCTATGCATAAAGACATCGTTGTGGTCGACGTTTCTGACGACGTTTCTGAGGACGAGATGGAAGTGGAGGTCAGCACGATCGCAGATGACTATGACATGTACGACCCTGTGTACGACAGGGAAGTAAATATCCTCCTGGACGATGTTGAAGAAATGGAGTTCGAGCCGGGCATATTCCAACAAGAAGAAGAGGAGGAAGAAGAAGAAACAGAAGAACACTGTTCGGACAAATCATTATAAGTAACAATTAGATTCGATTTAATTTAATATTGTATTTTGAAACCTGTATCGTCGAATTTAATAATATTCGTCATTGAGTTTAAGAAAATATAAATCTTCCTAAATCTCTCGAGAACGGCCGTTATGAAAAGTCGAATTTTAAGCAAATATTCTCGGTAAATGTTATCGCGCTAATTTCTGTAGATACCGTTCTCCGCGTACTTATTTGCGCGCTTTTTTTGTTGTTTTCGCATTCACATTACAAAGGACACCTATGTCCTCTATATATTTATATGTATTTTCTCCTTTATATTTCTGTACTCTAGATATTATAAATCTGTCGAAACTGTTCCCTCTCTTTATACTTGTTTGTCAAAATTCACGCTGAGTCGGCGTGAATTTTGACAAACAAGTGAACTGCCGTTCGCCGACGGCAGCAGTCTTTTCTCAGCGTTCGATCAAAATAAATCGATTAATACAAAAAAGTTCTCCTTAGATCGCTTTCCTATCCTCCTCGAGATATTTCGACGTCGCCAGTGCCGGATCTCGCGTTTCTTTCAACATTTTTTTTTGGTCCTTCAAGCCGGATTCGCGGATCGCGGGCGTAGTTCGCGTTCATTCTTTACCGAAATTCTCGAGATTTAAGTAATTTTCGGAAAGTGATTCGTCGCGTTTATCGATTCTTCTATCTATCACGGCTACTCTCGCATCTCTCTATATCGCGTGTGACATAAAGTTGAATATCTCTCACCGCGATCAAACTAAGTGACTTATCAATTTCGCGCAAAGTGCAACTGTGAGTGTGTGCAGTGACTCTCGAACTTCTCATTATTAAATCTCGACAGAATGACTCTCGAGGCTCTTCTCGATCGCCAGTATGAGCCTCATCGCTCGCGCTTGCGAGAATCTACAAAAGCTCGGTCTTTCTAAGACCACCCGTGGTGCAGTGCAAAATTGCCTAGCGAGTTTAAAATCGAATAGGGAAAAATTCAAAGCGTTACACGAAAACTTATACAAGCTGAGATCGCCAAAATTTAAAAAGCTGGACTACTTTGTCGATAAGGTTTATGAGCAATGCGACGAAAAATTTGTCGAAGCCCAGGGCACAATGCTCACTATCCTCGACAGTTTTGAACCGCCAGCTCAACAGAATACAGCCGACAACTCTATGAATTTATCGTCCGCATCGCATTCTCGACGTTTGCCTTGCATCGATCTATCGAAATTCAACGGTGATTATTCGCAGTGGGATCATTTCAGAGATCTCTTTTCATCAATGATCAACGCGAATACCGATCTCTCTGCTGTCGAGAAACTTTATTATTTAAAAATGAGCCTATCGAACGAGCCGGCTACACTCTTGAAAGGCGTCGAGATATCGAGCAAAGGATTTAATCGCGCATGGGATACTCTCGTCGCCCGGTACGACAATAAGCGTATCCTCAAGGATGCTCAGCTCTCCGCTCTGTTTTCGATTCGCAAGGCAAAAACCGAATGTGCATCGAAAGTGAAACGCCTTCTCTGCGAGCTGAAAGAAGCCATCGGAGCCCTCGCTACATTGGGCTGCCCAGTTCATCACTGGGATGTTATTCTCATCTTTATGACGGTGCGCAAGTTAGACACCGAATCTGTAAAGGAGTGGGAAAAATCACTCGGAGCCACATCGCAAGCACCATCGTTCGAAGACTTCGAGAAATTTTTTCTCGGTCGTATTCTCACTCTCGAAGCCTTCGAACGAACGACTTCTCGGAAACAACACGCAAATCCGTCAAGACCTCAAGCTAACGCTCGTGCATATACCGCTGCTGTGTCTGAGCAAAAGTGCGCGTTGTGTTCATCGGGACACTACATCTCCTCGTGTCCTAAGTATCTCGAAAAGACACCCGTGCAGCGAAAGAAAGTAATCATTGCAAAAAGTCTATGCTTTAACTGTCTCGGGCCTCATCAAATAAAATCGTGTCGCTCAACAAAGCGCTGCCGTCTCTGCCACAAGCAACACTCTACCCTCCATAATCAAGCCGGTAACACAGCGATCAGTGCATCAGATGCATCCTCAAACTCGTCGACGTCTGTCGCCACATCATCTCCGCCGGCAACTCATAGTGCAAGTATTCTTCCATTTTCTGCAGCTCCTCAACTGAGTACCGAGCAAGTCTCAAACTCCGCGACATCAATCTATCTATCTATCTATCTATCTATCTATCTATCTATCTATCTATCTATCTGTCTATCTATCTATCTATCTATCTATCTGTCTATCTATCTATCTGTCTATCTGTCTATCTGTCTATCTGTCTGTCTATCTGTCTATCTGTCTATCTGTCTATCTGTCTATCTATCTATCTATCTGTCTGTCTGTCTATCTGTCTGTCTGTCCGTCTGTCCGTCTGTCCGTCCGTCTGTCCGTCTGTCCGTCTGTCCGTCTGTCCGTCTGTCCGTCTGTCCGTCTGTCCGTCTGTCCGTCTGTCCGTCTGTCCGTCTGTCCGTCTGTCCGTCTGTCCGTCTGTCCGTCTGTCCGTCTGTCCGTCTGTCCGTCTGTCCGTCTGTCCGTCTGTCCGTCTGTCCGTCTGTCTGTCTGTCTGTCTGTCTGTCTGTCTATCTATCTATCTATCTATGTATCTATCTATCTATCTATCTATCGTTATTTTACGCATTGCTTTTTCAGTCTTCATAGGCTTCAGATCGCTATTTCACAGCTCTTGTGACGTGCAGTCTTACAGAGAGACGTACTAATTATTAGTTTCTTCAATACGTATTTTGAATACGTGTCAGAGTAAAGTAAACAATTAGTGATAGTGATAGTGATTCAGTTAATTTAAGAAGACATGGCTAACAGCGGGCAAAAATACAAACTACCGTTTGATGAAGCATGGCAAAATTATTTTTTTACTTTAATATCTAATGAAACTATTTGTTTATTATGCGGTTTCAAACCTTCGTTAGTTCAAAAACAGTCAATAGAAAGACATTATAATATAAAACATTCTGATGAGTACGATAAGTATATGGGCCAAGAAAAGTATAATTTAATTCAGGGATTAAAATTAGTTTATCAACAAAACAGTGACGGAATTTCTCATGATAATTATGAAAGTACAAGTACATCTTCAAAAAATGCTCTCACCGCGTCTTTTAATATTAGTTATCTTCTCGCAAATAATTTGAAACCATTTACTGACGGTGAATTTGTAAAAAAATGCCTCATGGAGGCAACTAAAGCATTCGGAGGTTCGCTAACTCTTGAAAATGCTGCCAGTATTCCTCTCAGTGATAAAACTGTAGCATCAAGAGTAAAAGATATCGCGAGTCATATTAAAGGAAAATTAAAATCTTTACTGGTTACTTGTTCTTTTTTTCAATATGTATTGATGAAAGTACCGATATTAGACACGTAAGTCAACTTAGTATATTTGCTAGAATAGTACAGGATGATTTTTCATGTATCGAGGAACTTTAGTTTTAGGACTTTTTTGGTCCCATTACATGGCACAACAACAGGACTAGACATTTTTAAAGCCGTAGAAGAAACGCTTCAAAATTTTAACGTTGATTTTTCAAAATGCTTAGCCATCGCGACTGATGGTGCAAAAGTAATGACGGGATCAAAAATTGGTTTTCTTGGTTAATTAAAACAACGGAATTTAGAGATCCCTGTCATTCATTGTATTATACACCAAGAAGCATTATGTGGAAAAGTTATTAAACTGTGCACCGCAATGCAAACGGTCACAAAAATTATTAATTCTTAATTAAGGGCGGTCATAAGTTTCTAAATCATAGAAAATTTTAACAATTTCTTTTTGAACATAACGCAGCTTACACGGATATTCCTCTTCATTGTGAAGTTCGTTTGCTTAGTGCAGGACAATGTTTAGAAAAATTTTTTGCAATACGGACAAAAATCCTCCTTTTTTTGCAAGAATTATCAACATTGAAATTTGAAGAATTTAAACCTTTTTTTGAAAATTTAGAAACTCTTTCGGAATTAGCTGTTGTAACTGATTTAACTAATCACCTCAATATTTTAATTTTGCAGTTGCAAAAAGCGAATCAAAATGTTTCGCAATTAATTACTCATATTGATTCTTTTCGAAGAAAATTAATACTATTAAAAAATCATTTAGAAAAAGATATTTTCCATTTTTACCCATGTTGTCAAATTTTTTTAATGAACACGGTATAAATTGTAATTTTAAACAACATGTTTACGTTCTTGATGAAATCATAAATCAATTTAATACGCGTTTCAATGATCTTTCAACGCTCCGAAGCGACTTAATTTTATTTGAAAATCCTCTTACAGTACAAATTGAAGAACAAAATTTGCAGTATCAGGAGGAACTCTGCACTTTGCAAAATGATTTTTCTTTAAAATCCAAATCAAAGAAGGGCGTAAAATTTTTTAAAATTTTAGATAAATCAGTATATCCCATTTTAAGAAATTTTGGTATTTTTGGTATTATTTGCGTATTTTTTCTATGTTTGGATCTACATACTTATGTGAATTCTCATTTTCAAAAATGAAAAATTTAAAAACAGATAAACGTTCTTCTGTAAATGATGAGACATTATCTTCACTAATGCGAACAACTTCATCTAGTATCGACGTAGACATTGCATCACTTGTTCAGTCTCATAAAAGACCGAGAAAATCTAATTATGAACATTCAAATGCCATGTAATGAGATTAAATCAAGAAGAATATCTTTATCATATTTAGTCTTTTACTTTCTTATTTTTTATTTTTTAATTAAAAATTCTTCTTTCTATTTTTCTCTCTACAGTGGAATAGGCCTACTGGGGAAACCACTATAAAAAAAACGCGTCGGCAATAGTACCTCGCGGGTGACGTGGAAATCTATTGAAATATTTCTACGTTTAATTTAACAATTAAAAAAATTATGTTTAATACATTTTTTGAAATTTTAAAAATCAAGGGAGAAAGATCGTATCATAATTGGATAGTACCGCTCCTGAGGCTCGGCCGCGTTCGTCCTAGCGGCTGCAGCGCGCGCGGCAAAGGGAGGAAAGGAGGCGTCGACATACGAGAATCGGCTGAAATGCTGAGATAATTCCGAGCACTGCTTTAAAGGTACGTTAAAATACTTTAATTTGTTACAAAATTTCCACGATTGTGAATATTTTATGAACGATTTTGTTTGGTAGTTAGTATTCTATATTTTTTAATCCCTAAATATATTCTTATTCTTTCAGTGCCATTTTTATAAAATCCTTTTAGGAATTTTTGTGGAAAAAATATAAAAGTTATAAATTTGAAATTTGATGTTTATTTTTTGATATTTGACAACACCAATTATATTTACAGATAAGGCATTTCTGTACTTTTTTATTTCAAATAATTTTTGCACTTTAATTTATGACAACAGTAAACCATGACATGCCAATACAGATTTACAAATAATCGTCAAACAAATCTTTTATATTTGTAAAATTAAAAAAAATACTTAAATATCAAAGATTAAATGTACGAAGTCTTAATTTATATCTCTTATATTTTTTCCAAAAAAAATTCTTAAAATAAAGGATATGACAATGATACTGAAAGCGAAAATACTTTCATAATGGCATAATGTAAATTCTTTAAAGCTTTTAATTTATATTGTTATATGTATATATATATATATATATATATTGTGACGTGACATTTTGTACTGTCCGTCACAAGGGCCGAAGGCCCGGCCGGGAAGGCGGGAAATTCGGGAACCTTTGCTCTCTCGCCAATCTTTGAGAGAGAGAGCACCCGAACAATCATTTTGCGTTTTCTACCGCGTCGGAGGATGCGCTTCGCGCATCCGTTTCGCGAATTACTTTTTGTATGATTTTTGTTTGAGCGATGTTTGGCGTTTTTGGCGAGCAATTTTGCATAGGGTACGTGTCTCAACCGAGGAAACCAATAGAGAGGAAGAGTGAGAGGACGGAGAGGACGAAGAGGACGATTGAGGACCGAGCAGGAGCCACCAAGTCCGGATCACGCCCGGTAAATATTATTTTCGCACCAAATTTCTGGCTTGCCCATCCCGTTAAGAACCTGGGTACCGCCGTAAAATGTTCCTTCTTCCGCAGAGATTCCGGCCCGAGACGGGGATGGCCACTCTCTCGCGAGAGGCGAGAGAGCCCCGGGAACGAAAGGCGCGGGAGACCTCCTGCCTCGAGCCCCGCAGATCCGGATACACCGAAATCCCACCATCGATCAAACAATCGATCTGGCGGATTTTTGGGAGGAATCGCAAAGAGGTGCCCTCGTAGGAGTCTTCCCGACGGCCCATAAAGAGGAATACCGGAACCCAAAGCGGAAACATAGAGGAACGGCGAGGGAAAATTTACATCAAGAAAATTCGCAGGGCCCCGCGGGGTACCCGGCGGCCCTGCCAGGATAAGGAGCGCCACGGGTGGAAAATGCCAAATTTAGTATCGGCGTGATCCCGGCAGGCCCCTTGCTCGTCACTGTTCGGCGAGACATTCAGGAGAGCAGAGGTTCCTGCGCGGATGCCGAAGCACACCAGGACCCGGCGATACCGGTGAGACGAACGGCCCTATTTAATATTGTAAAGCCGCTAAATTCCTTGTGAGTACCGTATTCGGGAGAGAAGCGTGTCACGGCCGCGACCGGTTATTAGATTCACCGGTAATTTCGCGATTTTGAGAGTTTGATTTAGAGTTTCGTTCCGCGTGGAATTTATCCCGGCGCCCGGCCGACCGCGTGCTCTCTCCCGCGCGTATATTAAGAGAGGCTCTCTCTCCCGCGGATACGCCGACAGTCGCCGCGATTTTTGTCACGTTAATGTAAAATTTAAGGTATCGTCTTGTAATTACTGTACCGTTCTCGTCTGTTGGAGTTCTAGATCGGAGAATAGAAAATTAGTTAGAGTCACGCATCCGACCTAGCGTATTCTTTCTCGCGCATATCCTTATCCGTGCCGTCTTCGGATCCTTTGTGAAATATTGCGAGAAACGACCGGCGTGAGCGATCTCAAAGGAAGTCGCGCGGGACCTACTCGAGTTTACGGAAATTTTGTATTGCCTGAGACCATCGGAATTAATTACGCCGCACGGACCTTATTAAGTCTCGTGCGTTAATAATTATTCGACACGTAGGCGTGCGAATTTACTTCCGGGTCCCGCGTGTCGTCCGATATCATCGCGTCGGGTCGTCTCAAAGGCGTGGAATAATAACAACGCGCCGCGTCTCGGCCGTACATACGCCGTATTGTATTTTTCGAATCACATTTCGGCCTCGTTTATCTGTATTTCGGCGTTATTAACGCGGAGATCTCTCCGTAAGATATCAAACGAATATTACTTTTCTTTCTGGACCTAACATTGTACTCAAGTTTTTATACAATTATTTTTCTGTCTATCTTCGTTTATCAGTGTCTAAATATATTTAATGTTTGTTATATTTGAGCGATTTCAAATAGCCTCTCTCGAATTCCGTCCTCTCTCCCGTCCGAACTCCCCCCTCTACCCCCTGACGATCTGAGCGAGTCGATTATCGCCGTCGCGGAAATTTTCGGGATACTTTGCTGATTGTAAAGGTCATTTATCGATTTGGAAATTTCAGAGTGGCGCGAATCTCGCGCCTGGCGCCCAACCAAACATATTTTTTTTGTGTTTACGAGAATTTCCCGCTTTCCGCGCCGAAGGTGTGCCGTCGGTCACTTACATCGGCCCGATTTCCCGGATCCTTTTCGATCCGACGGACAATATAAAAT